ATAGTTTCATATATATCTTAACACATAACACTTGCAAAACCTGACTTATTTTAATTTATTTAATGGCATATATGATTTTATCAATTTATTAGCTGGTCCAATTATTTAATTTTATGGAACAAGCTATTAATATAAATCTATAGTTATATAGGTTCAACAATAAACATGGACATTTTAATTATAGTACATCGTAAAGTTCAATACCAAATGTAAAAACAATTATACAATTTAATTAGAGTTTTTAAAATTATATAATATAGTCAGTCTTTAAAAATCTAGTACTTAACCAGAAAAAAAAATATATGTAATCAAATGATATAATATTATGTAATTCATATTTTACACCGTCTGCCTACTGTGTCTTGTTAATGTTCATTTATTGTTCTTTTGAATAAAACAAAATTTTTGTTCACAAGTGCCCACTCCCTTTTTCATCTATTCGTTATTAGACGAACTTATCTGGACCAACCCGATATCTTGTATGGATATCTGGATTGAACCAGAGACAAAATGATAGGCATAACCATTCGCTTTTTCTTGTTGCGTCCCAGCTCACTGCCTAAAATATGCTGAATAATGAATTACAAACGGATAAAAAGTCCAATGCCTATTGAATTGCCTCACACTTAGATAGGCCTAGAAATCGAATGACGTTTGAATCTATTGCTCTAAATATCTGTGAATGTTATCAAAACTCCTTTACAGTCTTCATGACTGTTATTACATAAAACAACCTAGAGGAAAATATTGTGTAAATAGTAAATACATTTGTTCTATTATTTTTAACCCTGGTTTAAATTATGATTATGCACTGATCCATGAAGAATTAACGTATATCATTCAGAGGCATTTAATTGAAATAAATACAGCACAGTTGAAAAACTAGAAAACTTTGCCTGACGAATGATGAACTTTATAATAAATTCAAACTATTATTATATACACCTAAATATTCTGTTGAATAGGATGTTATGAGACCAAGCTCGTTAATTATGATAGAAAATAAATGTACAAAGATTATGGTGCTTTATTATAGTTATAATTACTTCATTGGAATAGGAGATGACAATAAAGAACTGACAGAGTGTTTGGTGGCTCACATGCCCTATAGATATGCTTAGTGCCGCAAAGAAGTTAAGTTATCTCTACTCTTAATTGTGAGATGTTTAGTACTATAATAATAGGAGCGTAATATCAATATTTTCGTCTAGTGGTTGTGACTGGTTTATGTGATTTTATATTTTCGCTGGCTGTGCTATTTTTAAATATTCACTGTTTTTTACAATTCGATATTATTCCTTAGTGTCCGCTTTTTAACATGTGGTATGATATATTTTAATGAATAAGTGGTGTCTAGTCGCTGAAATTTGTCTTCATCACTAATTAAAATCAGTGTAGGAATGTATATTTAAAAAAAAAAATTGTTGGACATATTGGTTTTTAGCTATTCTATAATTTGTATTTTAGTATAAACATTATTGATATATATATAAATAGGTACTAAAACTGCTTTCTCGCCATATAATAAAATATAGGTAGATTCCTACGTACTAATATACTATTGATTATATTGATATTTTAAAATCAGACTCACTTAAGATTAGTTAGACATTTCATAATTTTAATGATAATAATATGTGATTAATATACTTTTAAATTAATATTAGAAATAAATAAATAAATAAACATCTTGGGTACAACTGGTACAAATATTTACTAATTGCTGAATTACAAAATATTTAACATTAACAAATCATTAAAAACATGTATTTCCACCAAGAAGTGTAATAGTTTGAAAATTGATGAATATGAAGAATTTTGCACAATACAAAACATTCGTGGGATTTTCCACATTTTATGTTTTATGTACTCATGTAAAAAAAATAAAAATAAATTTTTATTTCATTCAAAACTTAAGACAGAAGTAATAAAATTATATTTATGTTCACATTAATATGTGGAACTTTGAAGTATTTTTTTTTTAAATCCACGTTTTAGGTGGTTATAAGTTATAACACATAAGAGCTTACTGAAAAACAGTCAGTTTAATATTTTGGGTGAAAGAATACTTAACATTATTTGATATTCGATTATAGAGAAAGAAAATATTACAATAAATTTGTCATCGGTTTTAATATTTAATATATTCGCCTGTAATCATTATTTTTATTTAAAATTTACTTTAAAACTATAGGACACATCATGTGAATAATAAACTATTATTAATCACTTTTGTTATTAAATATAACTAAAAGTAAATATTATTTCATTGTTGGAGAATCAAAAACTTAGCATTTTATACAATTTAGATTATATTATGACAATTATGTATTGTATCAATTCAGTGTTCTGTTGAAATGTTCAACTAATTCGTAAAATCGATAGGAAAACTGCACTAACCATAACCGTCACAATAATGTAACTCATGAAAATGTATAGAAAAATTCTATCAAATAACCAATGCATTATTACAGATTCCAGATTGTCTCACTCGTAAATATATTATAGTTATAAAAGGTGGGTCGAAGAAAATAAGTAACCACGCGCATTCAGCCGTCTAGCACACTAGTAGCAGTTGCCAGGAGGGTGAGATAAGCTTTTTTTTATTTTCAGCGTTATGGGTAGATAACAGTTCTTTATATATTTAAGTAAGCTCCGCCATTATGAGCATTTAATTATATTTTTTAAATGATTGCGAAAATGTATCCACAAAATAGTCAAATTTCCTAGCTTTATAATATCGAATTAAGACTCGTATTATAATGTAAAATAAAAGTGTCAGAGTAAAATAAATGATAATTAAAGTTGTTTACCTATGTATAAAACAACTGTAGGCAACTGGAGAAGGATTGGATCTTCAAGATACGTATCTTACAAAATTAATCAACGATTGTTTTTTGGACTTTATTTATTTAGTATTTTAATCTTCCGGGCTCCAATAGAAATTACTTACTGACAACTTGTATAAGCTTAGATGCAGATACTGCACCGATGAATGAACACACAAAACATAAATAATAATTATGGAATCTTCCAATAATTGTTTAATGTTCATTTTTGTTAATTCTGGTTATTTGTAATGTTTTTGTAATCATTGAATAAATCTGTGCAACAATATTGAAAATATTTGAAATTAAAAACGAATTAACGTTAAGCTAAGATTTTGAAAACAAGTTTCAACCATATAAACATAGTAAGCTCACAAAGTTTTTTTTGTGAAGGTTAGAGTCTTATAGGTCACACCAAACTTAAGCAACAATCAATCTAAATTGAAAATCCACTGTTCCGTGTTCTGAATCCATAATAATACCGAAAACTTACAATAATATTATCAACTTTTAAAGGTTTACAGCATTTCAGGCTTTCAGCGATAATCTTTTTTTTGTAATCCTACTCTATAGGTACCACATTTTAAAACTTAGAATCTATGTTATTTAATGACAATATTCTTAAATTAATCAATATTTTGTAGTTGTCATATCATAAAAATAATCACTTTCTTTCTATATTTTTCAGCAACTAGACACTAGTAATCACGTATTTAGTATGTTATTATACTCTAACTAATTAATTATGATAAATATCGGTAGTATAAATTTGTATGTTCACAGTTCGTTTTTCAAAGGTAAACATTTTTGTTCATTGGTAATATTTCTCTTAGCGGACACTGATTTACCTTATCAGGAGTATTACGGATTACGCAGTATCTAACTATTTGCCGCTCACACAAAAATATTTACCGTATAAACACCAACATTTTTTTTCGTCAAATAAATATTTACTATATGGTATATTTTCATTAATGTGGTTACACTGTCTTTTTAAAACTTTGATATGCAAATTATCATTTGATGAATAATTTGTTTTTAATATTTTAATTCATACTTTTAAGCTACTCATTGTTTTTTTATATTCAATTGTTAATGATTAGTTAAGTTGTCTTTTCCAAGTAAATTAATCAATTCATAAAAATTAATTCACAAAAATATATAAATGATTTTCGATAATTAGTTTCATTCAGCTTTAGTATATCCAGAATATACTTCTTTTCAATTTAATTTAAAAACGTACGAAAAGTTTCCTTCAAATTATTTTCAAAATAAATATTCAATCATTTTGAACGAGTTGAGCTGTACGATGTGCACGACATCCCTGGTTAGAGCTAACCATAGTCCGACACAAACACTAATCCTCAAGTACCAATGTCGGAACGAGACAAATCATTGCAGCCAATTAGTTGATGTCGGGAGGGGAGTAATATCCGAATCCTTAGCCGAACTCCTAAAAAAGTTATGCATTACACAATAAAATTATGATGGCATTGTCAACATTTTAACATTTTGTTATTTTTCTTTAGCATCCCTATTCATAAAATGTTTGCTTAGTTCTCAACGAAAAAAAGTTCAAAATCGATCATTTGAATAATTAAAACAGTTTAAAGTGACTCGAGGTTGGACTCAAAAAATGAAGTGTTTTTGATGCAAACTTTTGAGTGAGGCCGCTGCATGAACTACCTTAGGTACCGAAAATAATGTGACTACCTATAAAGTATTATAGTTTCAACATTATTTACGAACTACAGTTGGAATATCAAAGCAACTTCAACGTCATTATTGAGTTTCATATTTTTGTAATTTGTATTTTTTAAATGTATTATATACTGTCAAAAAGTCACGTTTGTTAAAATGTAGAGTACCTTTAGACTACCTACACTTGAAATAAAAAAAACCTTATGAAGTCGATTGATGTAATATTTAAAAAGAAAAATAAGATTGTTGGTTTATTTATAAATTTATAAGCTTGTGCATGGTTGAACCAGGCCATACAATCAACAAGGGCGGTTGGAAATGTGTGTATAAGACGTGTAAACATGGTTACAATCGTGAAGATACAGCCCTTATATAATAGTGTTTGCATGTTTTTTGAGTGTTTTTAAAATGTCAGCACTGTTATGGCCAGGAATTTTTCTTCTAAAAGTAAGGTTTGATTGTACTTTGCAGTTGTCGTGGTGGTGGCCTTTTTCGTCTGCTGGGCGCCATTTCAAGCACAAAGGCTAGTTGCTATCTACGGAGACGTGAATCACGAGGACCACTCGAGCACTTCGATAATCGATGCAAATGTATATCAGGTGCTCAACTACGTATCGGGAATCTTGTATTACTTGTCAGCTACCATAAACCCGCTTCTGTACAACCTCATGTCGTACAAATTCCGGACAGCTTTCAAAGTGAGTAGAGGTAAACCGACGGTGTGTAATTATTTATTTAATATTTTATATTAAACAAATAATGTTCCACGCTAAACAATGTTTTACGTTACCAGACATTCCAAATATAAAATTTAAAGTTTAAACACCATATAATTTCTTACGGTCTCTACAAAAGTTTAGCATAATATAGTGAATACATAAGATATAGGAATTAGATATCGTGTTATCCGAAAGCGGTAACTGACAATAGCCTTTCAGACATTTAATGAGTGGATTAGTAGTGTTGGCTCTCGACTCTTGATGCAGTGGGTATTATTTTAATCATGTACACGTGTATAGAGTTAAGTACACAACGACGATAATATATATTTGCATAGTCCACTGTATAAATGAACATTTTGTAAATTTTAATAATATTGTATTATACATAGATAATATTATATTAAAGTTGTGTTTCAACTTTATCCAACTATCAAAAGATACTATATCTATATAGCTTTCGGGATGTTATATGCTTTCTACGATATTGATTGGAAACCTTAAAAGGAAAATTAATCGAAATTATATATAAATACTTGAATTGATAAAATAATAAATATAAGGTATATAAATATATTCATATATTTTGTTCATTATTCGAATCATGATTTTCTCTATAATATTATTAGTTAATATAAGTTTTGATTTTAACACAATTATATTTTCTAAAAATGGCAAAAGGAAAATAACTGTTTGCACCTATATTGAGTTAAGATCTTATTCAACTAACAACTAGTTGTTGCAATTCATTATACAAGTGTCAAGTTTAATAATAAATATGCAAATGAACTTTGATTACAATAAGTCTAATGGTAATGCCTTGACGGGGGAATGCAATTTCGAACTGTAAAAATAGAACTTCAAAATACGATTTAAATATACCTACCTACATTTTCACTAAAATTATATTATATTACTTGAAATATCTGTTTAAAATAAATACATCCCATGATCCTGCTAGGAGCGTGTACAGTTCATAAACTATACACATATGTATACTATTGTTTTATTTTAAAATATGAGTTGGTAAGAACTAAATAATATTATAGTAAACATGGTTTTCTTTTTGTGTTTCTTCTATTCATGACGGTTACACGGTTAAAAATGTTGAACATTTCATTTACGATACAGGGTTGGTCAAGTTTCAGTAAATAATATTCCTGGAAAGTGGATACAAGACTTATAAGTTATAAACCTAAACTGCACATAATATCTTAAAACATCTTAGAAATACAATTGGAGACTAGGGCATAATATATACGATAGTGATAGGAACAATAGGAACAAGTAATCAAACCATGAATAGATTGATTGATAGTATAATTATAAGTATAACTAGACAAATTAGTATTATCCTATCTTATTAAATTTCTTAGGATACTATTATAGAAGTGCTGTTTTTGAAATAGGATCAAGAGAGGGTATCAATAGGTAATAAACCAACAGTAGCACCGTTTGAATTTTCCTATAAAAGGATACTAGTTCATAGTGAATTTTAAGTTTTCTAAAATTTAGATTGTACTCCCCAAGATTCTACCAACATTTTTCTTGTTTTTAGTGGTCGCTGTTTTTGGGAAAGGAAATTTCTATTAGATTATTAATTTGGAAAATTTTTATTGATATTAATGAGTAATTTGAAAAGTTGGAAACACAGGAAAGGTCAGTATTTCAAAGCACAGAAAAATTAAAACATTTTCAGTAGGATATACTGAATATATAATTAACTCGGGTCTCAGACGATTTCTAAAATCATAAAATTTGATGGTCAATGAGCAATACTATTTAGTTACATGGCTGAGAAATACCAAAATCATCTTATAATCAATATTTTGTATTTATAGGTAATACCTATTATACAAATATTTAACAATTGATAATATTAAAATTAATTTAGGTTTATGACTAAATTAAAATTTAATACCCCAATATTTTGTATGATAGCCGCCGCTGGCATAAATGCAATCATTTTCTGATATAAATAATTATATTAATTGATAACATAGTAATATGTTTATTTGCCTAAATAAAATTATAAGTAAATGAATTGTTAGCAAGAACTTTTAACCTTGAAAGTTTAAACATGCAGTGAACGTGTAAGTATTAAAAACATTTAAACTTTGTATTCGTGCTCCAACAATTAATGAATTTATAATTTTATTTATTATAAACTTAAGCAACCAAACTATATTTCAGACGCACACAATCGTGTTAGTTAATTAATAATATACTTAAATACCTAATTAATAAATGTTTATTTTAAAGTGACACACGAATATTTTTCTACCCATCCACATATTGTATTTAATGTACATTTTCCTGATAATTATTTGTCAGGAAACTTGGAGGTCATGCAAAGGGGCCAGTGGAATAAGTCCCGATCACGGCATGCCCGCTTTGGACTACAAATGGCAGAGACACCACAGCCACAGCAGAAGCTTCAGTAGTAGTCATTTTGACGAGGTATAAAAAACTATTTATTAACTGTATTGTTGTTGAGAGTTAAAATGCCCAGGCAGAAAATCACGTTATGTTAATAGGTCCATCCTATCTAATATACACAGTAGTACAGTACCCACCCATATATCATATATTATTAAAAACTAGAAACAAATAACCTACTCTGCTGCAACTTATTTATTTACACTCAAATATTTAATAAACATACCTATTATACATGTAGGCATTTTTGTGAGTAGTATTACATACTATTATGATGTGATGTAGGTACTTATTATGAACTAAATAAATATTATTAAGCTTAACAATAAATATATACCTATACATATAATATATATATATATATATAGGATAGTCGGTTTATTTTCTCCATTATTCACCTAATAGTTTAATGAGGAAACGGGAAAATACGATGACCCACATTTTAAATGTAGGGTTTATTTTTATCATATATAACACTTTAATATATTATTTATTTGAATACAAACTAGTTATGTTTTACTTTATTTAAATGTTAACCCATATTTTTAATTTAATATTCCAAAGCGTCAAATGTAAATAATTTTCTAAGTACAACGAATATTAAGCAAATAATTTTGTATTTACAATTAATTTAAGTTTAGATGAGTGGAGTAATGTCCCACACATTTCACAGGGCTTACCTCTTATTTTATCTTTAGTATGCATCGATCTTGAAATTTCAATGCCAAACTATAAACTATAAGTTGAATATTGTTTTGTAATTATTATTTTTATTATCAACTTATAGTTTATAATATATATATATTTTTTTCTGTCTTTGATTTTAAAAGATTTAAGTCCACAAATGTAATAATTAAAAAATTGTTATTGGGTTCATCTCGATTCTCGTTTGAATTAATAAAATAAATAAATAAATATTAATTTATTATAGATAGTACAGAAAAGGCCCATACCATTTAGAAATAAAAAAACCATTTTTCACTCTAAAAAAAAATAACCCTAACAAAAAATTATATATAATTATGTACTTATAAATATTATATAACGGGGTTTTTGTTAAAAGCCCATAATAATTTAATAAGATAAGTTTTAAAATAACTATTCTATATATTATAAAGCAATTTTTGTTGCTTGCATCTTACCTCTCGTGATAGATATATTTCATTGTTCTAACCAGGTGACTACATTATAATATTATACGTTTGTTTAGCGATTGTTATAATTTGTTTCTGAAACTGTTCAGGTGAATTCGATGAAACGACTGATGGCGAACAAGTCCTGGCAACCTACGATCGTAGCGATCAACGAGACCAGTGACACAGGTACGTCGTCGGCCGTGGACAAGTCAAGGCGGTTTCCACGCAAAATGATCTTCAGCAAACAAGACGCAATCAAAGAAAACGGCACGGCAATGCTGGAAAACGGAATAACCGTTGGCGTGTTGACCAATAACAACAGGACAACCACGATGCTGATGACGCCGAATTAAATTTAGTGTTCCTACTTAGCGTTACCTGCCCAGGATGTCATAACCAGAAATGCTCACGAAAGATATTAAAACCTGAGATTGGTACTTGTTTGTTAGTGGAGGCCATAGTAAACCCTATTTCCATATACGACCTGGTCTCCACACTTAAATTTATATCCTCTGTTAGGTTATATTACATGTGAAGGAAATTTGCATTTCCCCCCTTTGGTTTGACGATGTGTATAAACACACTTGAATTCCTAATTAATTCCATGCGGAGGACAACAAGAGAAATACAGATAGAAAAAAATTAAAAATTAGGTTTTACAAATTAGAAACACAATGATTATAGTACATTCGTGTAGTAGCTCTAATCGAGTTCCTACAATTTTTGAATGAGGAGTTTTTCAAAATAATTAACTCAATCATAATATTATTCTACTGAAAACTTTTGCCACAAGTCCTCCATGAGATATTTAAGAAAGTAAAATAAAAACTATGAATTTGTCACATTTCCAATTGTACCAGACAGACACTTCCATCCCATCCCCGGAATATGCATTAAATCCTCGCTTTTGTGTGTACACAGCACGTTTTATATTGTAAATAACATATTTAGATTATTTCCGTTGCTCATAGCGAGTTAATAAAACATTTAAACAAACAAAATTAAAATATATCTTCTTATTGAGGTTACTTGTTAACCGCCGCGATAACTTCTATTTCGACTTTGGCGTCCTATAAAAATAAACATAAAAAAAGATTTATCATCACATCACATAGTTTAACAGCCCGAGTGACATGAGTATAATTTGGTAAATTTATTGACCTCCGAAAAGAATGAAGCCACAAGTGTTCTCATATAAATAGTGACAGAAAAAAAAACACGAACTATAATAATTTATCACATCAGTGATGTCTTAAAGTCAGTTTTGTTTAATACTTACTAAAGGCAATTTGGCCACTTGAAACATTGCTCTAGCCGGATATGGCGGCACAAAAACTGTTAAATAGAAAATAAAGAGACAAATTATTGTTTTTAATCAGTACTTAGTGCTATCTATTTTGAAATTCAAATGAGCCCGCATAATTACATTGCTTGTAAATCTCGTTCACCGTCGGGCCGTCTTTTATGTCAGCTAACAGAACCGTGGTCTTAACGACTGGAAATAATAAAAATATATACACTTATAAGAATTATCCAAACATGTTACCACCAAAATAAAGGGGTCCCTTTTTGTTTTATTACGTAATCACATGGATGACTGTATCCGAGATAAATAAATTCACCCTTTATATTTAAACAAAATAGTTTTGTTTTAAAATGTAACTTACTATTATTTTTGTGTTATTGTATACCTAAGTGTATTGAATAATTTATAAATAAAATACATTTTATTTGATTCTGTTTTTTTTTTTTTAGTTTTTAAGCATAGTTATATGTGGCATATAAAATGAAGTATGGAGTTCATTATTAGTATTGTAATACTTATTCAACTTCTAAATTTTCATCACATAGGTATAAACATAGTCTATAATTTGGTTACTCTATATATTATTATGTTGTATAATATGGTTTGTACAGACATTCAACCAAATAATAATAATTCGTTAAAAAAATTAGTGAATACAAAAATGTAATATCTAAATGTACTTATAAGCTTTTCAAATTTTTACTGTGAATGAAGATATCACTGGTAATTACTTCCTAATGAATAATCATAATTGGCCACGTAGCTAGTCAAAAATACCATAACATCTGTGGAAATTTGCCAAAATCCAGTAAGACTCACTTACATAATAAAATATGTCACAAAAACTGTATGGTATATATAATAACATTTGAAGATATATTTATGTTAGGAATTCATAAGGTAATAACTAAGCAAAAGACCAAATTAAAGTTTTAATTTTAATACAAGTTTGTGGGTCGAATGATGAAAAACTTTACACGTATGAACATATTTATAATTATAATAAGGTTATTACATTATAATATGATTTTATTGACGTATTTATATAGGTAGTTAATAATGAATGCTATCTATTACAATCATTGTAATCACAGTTTGGTTGGAATTTAAAAATGCGATAATAATAGGGAATACAATGTAGAATATAGTTACTTATTGTAATTTGCTACTAGTTCAACTACTTGAATTAAAATTATGGTAAGCCCTTGATTATTTAGTGCACATTTTATTAATAACCTGGTTTGACTACATGCCAACTATATAATATGTGTATAATATATTGTAGTTCCGACGCATACGTGTAATTTTACTACATCACGTGCTCAAAACACTTGTTGGCCACACGATATTATTAATATGTACTGAATAAAATGAAAAACAATTAGTTTAACGCTAAATGTATTATAACGATGGCGATCGCAAACATACCTATTATAAGAATCAATCATAATATGGCAAAGTGTAAAATACAGAACCGAAGACGACACAATATTATATGTGTATACTGTATTATAAGTGTAAAGTAATAACTTCTAGACAGTGCAGTCATATAGGTATCTAGATATTCTCTTAACGGATCAAATATCAAAGAATATTGCAACACGAATAAATATAGTTATATAAAGTACAGATATTATATTGTTGGTATATGATTTTGGCTACTGAATTTTCTCCATATTTTTTCGATTCCTTTTGAGTTGTAAATCTGATGTACCATGTCGATGTTTAGCTTGTTCGCATATTTCCTCAATGGAAAGTAACGTAGCTCCAAGTTAACAAACAATGCAGTAAACTTTAAGTCAAATATTTCATTACTAGTCCTTTGACCAAAACGTATAATATAAAATATGACACATCACACGTACATTTCATGTAATCGAAATTATCTACGAGTAGTTTGAAAATTTTAATATACCACGTCGTTTTCACTGAATCCTCATTAATGTCTATTGCTGCACAGCAAACTATGAACAAATACCTATGTGGTTATACAATACGCTAGCGTTCAAAAGACACTTGTGTAACTTTCAGAATTCGGAACTGTATCAGAAACTATTAATATTTTTTCCTACACAATTATTCACACAGAATTATGTGTTGTCGGGTGCCGTTGTCGTTTTTATAAATTGTATAATAAAATATACTGTGGAAACAGCCGTTAATTTTACATTGTTAAGCAAGTCGAGAATATAAGGGAGGTAAATGTATTTAGTATTTTGTTTAATTAATATCAACAAATTCAGTGATTAAAGTATTAAACATGATACCCACCTCAGATACCGCATAACTAATACCTATAGGTATTAAATATAAATCATGATTAAATTTAAATATTTTTAAAATAATACCATGTTATATTATATAACTATATAGGTACACTAAAGGTATTATAAAAAAACTACTAGACTTTTAATTACATTACATAATGTACAACGGCGATCGCTGAAATTCAAGAAAAAATATATTGAGTTACAAAAAATCAACTACGCGTGACAAATTATAATTTTGAAAATTCTTATTTTAAAACATGACGATACGATTTATTACACAAAGAAACAAAAATAATATAAACAGAAAAATGTCAGATCTGCTGTGGCATAGTGGTATATCAATGTATAATTGTTGATGAAAATGTTGTGTTATGGAAAGGTCGACTTCATTTCAAACAATGTATACGAGTCATCGGTTTTCAATCAAGTTATTTGTATCATGTGATAAAGAAGAAACAGACTTGTATTTTAGACTTCATAACATTTACAGGAAAAAATACACATGTCTACTAATTTGTGTCGATCAGATTCTAATTTAAAAACACAGTTTATATGGAGTATACGCGCACTACTCCTATAATATATTATATTTACTTAAATAATAATACTTGTGTGAATTGTGAAACGGTCACACTGATGAAATATAATGTTAATTATGATCGTTAAGTTTCGATAAAATAGTTTCATAGTTTTTCCTAGCCTTGATATACTTACTTGAACTGAAAGACGATTGAGAAGCTTCCAGGACATGCTTAATATTTTCCAATGCCTTTTTTATCTCGGGTCCAGCACCGCCTTCAACCAGCTTACCGGTACTAGGATCCAAGCCCAAAGTACCTGACAAGTAAACTGTATCACCGTACTTAACTGCTTGGCTACAAATAATATTAAAATCGTTTTAACTGAAGACGAACAGTGTTATCCTGTATTGGTTGATATTATACAAGTTCACATTTTATCTTAAGTAAATAGATAGGTACCTATAATATAGAGATTATAGTTTCATATAACATAACAATTAATATTAAAAGGTCAGCTGTGTAACACTGTATAAAAGATAAGTATTGTAATCCGGTATTTAGATGCTTTTCAATCTAAAATAAAGAGTTCCTATTTCTTAATTTTCAAAATGAATGTAATCACTTAAAAAATGTTTGACTTTATTTATATTTGAAAAAGCATATTATGCTTGTCATGTTGTTCTCAAATACCAGATGACCGATGTACAGGATAAATGTAACCAATTGGCCCCAATATAACTTTTAACTTTTTTTAAATAAATAACTCAATAAACTGAGGTATAACTGCTACAATTACATAAGTATTTGAAAGTTATTCATTAAGTTAGAGAAGGTTTAGAGCATTCTCCGAGAATTTAATGAAATGTATTTATTTGTTTTTGTAATTATAATTATAGATGATATTGTACAAAACTGTTAACGGATATAAATAAAGTAATATCTTATTAAAAAAAAAACAACAAAATGTATAAATGAATCGAATGTAAATAATTTAATGTAAGTATATAACGTTGTAGTTGATGCTCAAAAATTAAAATTTGATACGTAGGTACTAAAATAATTCGTAACATTTATTTCTCATGTTTTCACACTTTATCATTAAAAATAATTACATTAATCGACACTAACTAAATTAATCAAATTAGAGTAAAATTGTTTATTTAATTCTTCCTTTAAAAAATGTAAGTGTCTCAGATCGACCCAACATTCATAAAACACCCGTGGAAATGTATGAATAAAACATGATTTTATTATTGCCTAGCTAATTCAAAAGGAAACTTATAACAAATCGATCAAATTCAAACATTTAAAAAAAAATTTAGTTGTAACAATATAATATATTTTATGAGTAAAAAACAACGTAACAAACAGATAAAATATTTTATCAATATAGTCGTTACCTTTCAAACCCTTATTATGTTTTAATTAAATGTTTTTAAAAATATAAGAACTTAGGTACCTATAATTTATATAAATACGTGCATTTTATTGTTTTCAAAAATTGGTTATAATTCAAGAATTTTGTAATGCAATTACTTGCGTATTATTGTATGTTTCATAATGATAAGTACATAACTAATATATAAAATGCATTAAGTTTCATTGTAAACATTTGTTTTTTTAGTTTTACTTCGTATTAATATTCTTACTTAAATGTT